AGCGTACAATCGTGCGGCGCAATTTTCATAGTTTTGTATATATTTATACGAAAAGAATGTGACAAAATACATAATTTATATATATCCTTCCATTCGGACTGTCGCGATTTCTCGATACTCTCTCGCGTCTCTCGGAGGAAAGTCGGGGAATCCCGGGATCCGATCAGCTTCTCGCACGGATGCGACCGAGGGGACACAGAGACGATGCAAAGTGTTCGCACGAGTCTGCAGCAGAGTCTCGTTGATAAAAATTACCTTTATTCTCATCGAAAATATAAATAAATTACAAAATATATATAGTTAGGTAAATGTTCGGAAGATCGTCGTCTTTAACGTAAAGTCAGTGTACTATTCGCGTCGACGCCGAGACTACTGTCAGATGCTCCCCGTTCAATCGCGTTCGACTAGAACCATCCGTGAATTTTAAGCCACGTTTCCGTTTGAACAAGTCGCCAGGTCGGACGAACTCTGAATCGAATATATTCTTCGCTCGAAAGTCGGTTGTGAGATAAAAGAAGCTTCTGCGTATAGTTTCGCCGAGCACGTCAGCACCCGTGGCAACAGAACGTTCAACCGAACAAACACAAGCGTCCGTTGCAAAAAGTATTTGACTTTCTTCGAGTATACGCGACAGTGAAGAAAACCGGCGGAGCATTCCCGCACGAATAATTATCGCGAGAAATGCCGTAGTCTCTTTCGCATTACCTTAAGCGGTTAGTCGATCGACTCCGAATACAGATTACTCACGCCTATCCCGTACGACGTGACGTGAACCTGGAAACGTGGCTGCAGGCTCGCCTCCAGCGTCTTAATACTCAATATCGATTTTCTACCAAGGTACATTATACACAGATGAGTGTGCGATCCATGCCGAATTACACAGTTTCAAGAGACGTTTTTCTTTTCTTTTTCATTTGGATTATTACAGGATTCTCTTACGTGTATAATAACGTATATGAATGATGTGCAAATGTCAGAGACCTCGCTCCGCGAATCCAATGAGATTGGCAGCAGTCGCGTGAGAATCCTCGGAGCCGTTCCGGTCAACTATCTACGATTCTACAGTCGGGTCTGCTCGACTCGTGGCACGCGCACATCACAAAATTAAACCGCGCTAAAGGACTAGGAGATTCATCGTTGCTACACAGTGCTCTCTGTGTCGGACGCCACGGACAACGTTTGCATCTTCGGCACCGAGTAGTTTTCGGAATGGGCGTGCACCTGGACCCGGTTGGACACTCGTTCCAGGGTAGACGGCGCTGACGGAGTGTCCTGATGTGCCTTAGGTGGAATCGGCGGCGGGCTCACCTGAAAATTCAGTGTCGTACAAACGACGAACAACAAACTGTTGTTCTATGCTATCGACGGATCGGCTACTCGCGATTACCTCTTGACCAGGAAGAGAGTGCGATCCCTGAAACGTTCCACTCGAGAAATTGCCTGAAGCGTTCAGAGCGTTGATCACCGACGGTGGTGATATGTTCATGATATCGTTGCACCTTGTCCGCGGCTCGAAGTCCTCATAACCAAGGTTGTTCAGGTTGGTCAAGTGCGACTGGAAGTCCAGCAGGCTGGCCGTGGATATGCCGCTGTCGCGTAGGTCATTCGGTTCGTTCTGCGCTTCCGAGTCGTCATCGGTGCTCCACTCTGTGTTGCGTTTGTATGCTAAACGTTTAGGCGGCGCCGGTGGCACAACGGTATTGCTGTTCGAATCTCGTTTGTCCGGTGCTGAAAGGGGAGTAAAAACATTCTGTTTCAAGTTTACGTATATGGGAGGCTTGAAAACACGCCAGCACAAGATAATGGACGCAATAGGAACAAATACACGTCTCTCCACTCATTGCTCTTCCTTTGAAAAATTCAACACTCGAACGCCCGTAGCAGGCAACCCGTGCATCTTGGAAACACTAATTGCTCTCCACTTCTAGGCGTTCGTGGAAACTATGTGTACGTCGGGTTGCCAGTCAGCGGGCGCTCAATTAACCTAACATAATGTAATCGTATGATCAACAATACAATACAATATTGATCAAATGATTAATCTATTCGACAAACAAAAATTGCGCGAGGACTGACTCGCAAACGTATGATAAAAATGAAATATCGTTAATCTGTTGTTACCCTGTGCTGTATAAAAACTTACTGCAACCTCTTGGGGGAAGGGGTGGCGCAGGTTCGGGGCCAGGCTCGCTCCAAGAAGTCCTCAAGCCGGTCTGATCGACGCCATCCGTCGGCGTCGGCAGAGAGTGTCTCAGCGGCAGTTTGGGGCTCAAGGGTTTGCTCAGGGTTCTTTGATGCGTGGGCCTGGGCGGAGTGGTGCCATAGCCAACGGAACGCGGTCGCACTTCGCGTTGAGGAATCGGTGGCGGGCCGCCGTCCACTTTCGTGTAGAAACCCTCGTCTTCCGGTAGACCGTCGCTTTCCGCGTGAGAGGATCTAGACCCGGCAGTCTCCAGCGTGGCCGGTCGTTGCTTCTCGTTGACCGGTAACGGTGGCAAGGGCGAACTGTAAAAGCAGGGAACAAGCTTCAAGCTCTGTGCTCGAGTATCGAGAAACATCAAAGCAAAGAGATCTTTCGACATAGGAAGATTAGCTTCAGCGTGACTAGAGTATTTATTCACAGGGAACAGATCTAATTACTTGACGATGCTGTCCTGATGAATAGTCCGTTGCCTGGCCAGCGTTCCCAGGCCCTGCTTCAGCTGCGTAAACCTCTCGTGAAGTCTGTTGTGAAGCGGCAGCACCCCGGCGGGGGCGATTTGTCCGTGCAGATTCAGTCCAGCCTCGAGCACGCTCATCTGGTCCAGGATCAACGACTTCAGCCTATTCACGTGGGGCACCATGTCTGGGTTCTGTCTGGCGAACTCCGGCGTGAGGAAAGCTTCTTGGTACTTGGTGATGCCGCCCATCACGTTCGCGTCGATGATACCCTGCAGTCTCATGCTGAACGGGTTGATGTTCCGATGGGGCTCGGCCGTGTATTGCGCGACAAGTCTCCTGAGTTCTCTCTCCACGCTCTGCATGGTCTCGCAGGCGTACTGTACAGGCGCGAGCAGCTCGGACCTCTTCTCGATGACCTCGAACCACCTGAGGATGCCCGGCAGCTTGGCCTCGGTGGTCAGCGTGGTCCTCTCGATCCACAGCGACTTGAACTCGTTCTCGCGGTCGACGGGGCCCCTGTGCAGCGGCCGGTCGAACAGGAACTTGCGCACGTCGTTGACGAGGTAGAACGCGACGATCCGCTCGGGAACCTCCGCTCCGCGACAGGCCAGGCTGCTCTCCTCGGGGATGGGCTTCACGTTGCAGATTTGTATGTCTGAAAGGTGCACGTCCGATTGAGGCGGAGAACGAGAGGCGGAATATTCAGGTGGAGGAATCGACGAACTTACATTGTCCCTCGGACGTTAAGATACTCTCGTCCGGCGGAGAGTTCTTCATTAAAATTTGTGCGCTCGGAAACTCGGTCTGCAGCCGCTGCGTGAATGCCCCTATGCGCTCGTACTCTAGACCGCGATAGATGAAAAGCTTATTCTGCAACACGGGAGGCAAAGGTAATTACGCGGAGCACCGACGTGCCACGTTAATGACGTGGCAAGGGTTGTCCTAACGAGTGCGCCTCTCCGCGAGCGAGGCGCTGACTTTATAACGAGCCTTTCACCGGTTCGCCACCCTTAGGAGGAACACGGTATTCAGACGCCTCCCGGGGTGGCGAGGGCTAATACGCAGGTTGGCCCATTCAGAGCGACGCGTTTCATTTAATAACGTCTCGCGAGGCCCGAGGTGTCTTGAAAGCGAAGGCAATCGAATCGTCTCTTAACTGCTATTCTTGCTTTCTCGAGAAGCGTCTTCGATACAGAATTATTCAATTGTCAAACCTAACATTAGAACATTTACTTTTCGTCTCAGTTCCACGCGACAAACGCGAAACGCAATTGGAATTCTCCAAGTGAAATTTTGATTGTTTATATTTTCGAACGATTCGAACAGCGAACAGAGACTAACGACGAAAGGAAAAGTGAACGTGTGTATTCTCACCCTAACGAAGAGAGGAAAACTGAGGCCGTAGAACCCGACGCGAAAGTACTCGGGCTCCGGCCGAAGTTGCGTCAATATATTGTCCAGGAACTTGGCCTGCGTCTTCAGCACGTGACTGAGTTTCGCGTAGTCGTACAGTCTAGTCTCGTAGAGCACCGCCAGTTCCTTGCACAGGGGAATGCCTTTCTCCCAGCACTTGCCCCGGTCCAGATAATGGATGATCTCGTGGTAGAGGACCTCTTTTCTCTGCCACTCGGGCTGCTGAGGATGCGTGTGGTCCGAGGGCAGTATCGTCGAGCTCCAGCCGAGCTGATCGGCGTACAGCTTCATCGTGAATCCCGCTTCCGTGTAATTCTCAGCCGCCAGGTGCAAATCGTGGAGCTTGTAGATGTACCGCAGGTACATCTCCTTCCGGTTGAACTCGTTTTTGTAGAAGTTCTGCAGGAGAAACAGGGAGATACCCATGATTGTAGTTGTGTTATAAGAATACGATCCACGTTGGATCTGAAGCGAGAATAACACTGAGAGACGACTAGCCGATGCGTCTAACCGACGGATGTGTGTGTATATATATAATAGTTTAACTATTCATCTAACGTGATTATCGCGTTCAAATTGTATCACGCGTGTGTAGACTGTGGTTCATAATTAATATTCCTGTTGATTATATTAAACAACGTGACAGCGACTTTCAAGCTCACCAATAAATTAACGGTACACGACATCCGTTTGTCTCTGTTCTCGTCACCCTGGATGACGCTCCTGTAGTCTAAGAGTCTCTCCAACAGTCTCGTGATCGACGTGATGAAGGCTGTACCGCTCTCCTTCCACGCTGGGTCCTCGGACTGCACTCTGTCCAGTAATCTGTTTACAAAAATGATCGTGCCAATAGGTAATCTTCCACAATCAAGGCGAGAGGTTCGATTCAGATCGAATTCTTAGGTGGTTCACTTACACGGCGCTAAGATGCTCCCTAAAGCAGCGTGAAATTGGACAAGAGTTTAAAGTTATCTTCGAGGTTAAGGGACTTATAAAACCTCGAGGTTTATGCGAGGTACATTTAACATTATGCAACGAATCGTGCACGAAACCCAAAGAATTCTCTAATCGGAACTTACATGGTGTTAAAGAGCTGCCTGTACTCGTCATCCCCCTTGTTCTCGCTGATCAAGATGTCCAACTTGTCGATGAGCTCCGACTCGACGGACCTGAAGCTGCCGCGCGCTCTCTGCTCGCACTCCATCATGTCGAAGAAAATGTGCAACGTGGCCTTCCTCAGCTCGCTCTCAGGTACTAAGGTGACCTCTAGGAAAGGGCCCACCATGCCAGGAATGAACTCCAGCTTCCGGTCGCCGAGATGAGACCACATGGAGAGTATTTGGAATCCCATCAGCACCCTCATGTCCCCGTACTTCTCGACGATCTTCTCCCTCTTCACCTCGGAGAACTGTTCCAGCTGAAGGGACGGCTGGGTCAGGTACGCTACAGCGAGATTGAAATACGTGGACCAGAGCTGCGAGTCGAAGCTGCCGTGCAGAAACCGGAAAGCCAGCGGTTGCGCCAGTTCCTGCAGAGACTTGAGGATCACGTTGTTCGCTTGCATCCTGATCACCAACCAGTCGGGCGGGAACACCTCGAGTCGCACCAGGTCACGGAGAACCATGAACACAGCCACCAGAAAGTCCTTGAGCGGCCTCCGTTCTCCGGTGTGAGTCAGCTCCTCCCAGAGTCGGGCGTAATGATACTCGTCCAGCAACTGGAGCAGGCCTATCAGGCACGCGACCAGGCAGCCCAGAACGGTGCCGTTAGCGTTGATCACGATGAGGATGGTCTTGATCAGCTCGTCCAGAATGGACAAGCACAGAGTCTCCACGTCGTGGTGGATGCAGTTGTTCACCTTGTTGGTGTCTCGGCCTCTCTTGTGGAGGAAGCTGAGGATCTCGCCGAGGATTTCGGTGCAGGTTCGCAGCTCCTCGCGCCTTATCAGATGGATCTTCAGGTGTCTACACATGGTGACTAGCAAGAGGTTCCTGCTCTCGTCGTCCTCGCGGAACAACGCCGAGGTGGTGAGATTCTTGATGGCCATCAGCTTAGCCTGGGTCAGCTGCAACGGCGGATTGGAGAACCCGGCGTCCAGCAAGGTGCACGCCAGCTTGGCTACTTCCAGTACCGGCAGTACGGCGGTCAACTGTTCGAACACCGCGGAGATCGAGTAATGGAGAGCTATCTGGGAGTTGAGCACCAGATTGTAGGGCAGGCCCAGCATCATTTTGAACGAGGCGAACACCAGAGAAATGTCCCGCTTGAAGCTGTCCTCGAGCTCGCCCGCCGTCGCCCTGGCGAACAACAGTCTGCTCTGTATGATGAACTTGAAGATGTACTCCAGCGAACGGAAGCACTTGTTGATCGGCTCCTGTTTGTCGGCGGTGCTCCTCGCTGCCCAGTCCGCGCAGTGCTGCACGCTGCTCAGGAGACCTTTGTACACCAGCGCCGCCGCGAAGTGACCGGAAATGTACGCGTCCATTACCGGCTTGAAGTGCTCGAACTTGGAGTCCTCCAGCAGGCTGAACACAGAGACCAACACTTGGAACACCAGGCCGGAGTGGGTCGTCGAGTTCCCGTACTCCGTGTGGAACATGGAGAACAACGCGTCCAAGATGTCCTGCAGGAATTTCACGAGTTCCTCGCCGTTCAGCCGCAGCACGCGACCCAGCGCGTCCGATATCCGCTCCGGGTGCGCCTTCCACTGGAGCAGGCTCAGCAGATCGACGTTCTGCGTGAGCTTCGTGCTGCACAGCAACGTGTGGACGAGGACGCTTTCCTTCGGCGACCTGGAGAACGCTGGCGTACCTGGAGAACACGCGAAGCTCGTTGAAGCGATTAACCCTTAGCAGTCCTGTGTCGAGACGGACTCGACATTCTATTTTATGCAACCTCTACCTTTTAACAATTTTTTCTATATTTATTTGCTGTATCGCAATTGTACCGTTTAAAGGTAACATTTCAGTGACTTCCAAATATTCTTGAATAAATAGAGCGTCATATTGAGCAGTAATCGAATGAACTAACGTGAACCTCGAAGTGAGAAACCAAGAGCACTTCGGACCGGAAAGGGTTAAACCGATCCTTCCTCGTCCATCTCGAAGATTCAAAGAGCGATCATTGACTTTCCGCGAGTACGCATTCCCGACGACGGACAATAGACAAAACGAGTCTGAATAGAGGACGAATCGAAACCTGTTGCATTCGGTTCTCGAGCGCAGCTGGGCAGCGAAAGGTAGCTCAACGAGTCCAACTTCGTCCGGTCTTCGCACTTGTAAATGTACAGGTCGTGAGGCCCGTCCTGAAGAGTGGCGCCTCCGGGTTCCATCAGGCGGACGAAGGCGAACGAGAATAACTTCTTGTCGTTCTTCTCGCGTGCTGAAACGCGCCAGGAAATTCCATTAGACGGTTCGACAACGTCGATCTCTTATGCTTGATCTATCGAAAATCTTTGGAAAAACTTACTCGAACAATGCCGGAACTCGAAGCGGACGTGACTCCCGTAGAATTTGTCAATCGGTATGGCCAGTCGAACGGTCTCCGCCCACGCCGGACTATTGTGATGGTATATGACTAAGCTTTGGTATTCCGAACTACCCTCCATTCCGGCGGCCCCGAACAAACAGTCCTCCAAGGGTTGCCCGTGCACGTCCAGCACCAAGATGGTCACCTAAACGTTTCCGTCGAGCGAGCGGTGAGAACAGTCCTCGTATTCGCGTCAGGTTTAATCGTTCGACAAACTAAGGTACTAAATTATGTACGTCGAACTCCGAAACAATCCAAATGAATAACGCGCACCGAGCGATCTAACGTTACGACCGAGCACTGGACTAGTTCCAGCAGTGTTAATTTATCTCGTGTTAATTAACACTAGGTTTACGGGCATTTATTGTACAGTTTATTCTATTGTTCCTGAGGAAGTTAATATTCGTTCATTTAGATTTTGGAAATTGTAGATGTAGAAATAGACAATCAGGATTCATATTCGTGTAATTGGATCAACGAAGACCGATCGAAACATTTACCAAATAATGTTTATAAAATTCAATCTGCGTCAGATTTACGCGTTCCGTAAACCTAGTGTTAATTTATCTCGTGATCGGTGAACGAGAAAACTTTGCTCGAGAAACCGATTCGATTCCGATCCGTCGTACGACCGATACACACCTCGATGTTCTTCCCCGTGGACTTGCCGCCCCGCTCGAACTCTCCGCGGCCCAGTTTCAGGTACAAGTCGTTCCGCACGTCGCCCGGCATGATGACGTCCGAGAAGCCGAGCTTCTTCGTCAGGCAGATATTCTTGAAGAGCAGGGGATTCTCCAGCCTCACTTGGGACAACTCGCCGTGGAGGACCCGCATCATGACCACGATGCCGTAATTCGGCTGGCCGGGAAGCGGGGAACACTTGTTGTTGCGGATAATCTGCTCGTGCAGCTGGTGGAAGTCCTTCTCCTCGCCTTGGTACACCTGCGAGCGAGCAAACAATGCTCTACAGTTCAAGATCGTATCTTCAGCGTTAATTACGCGGGGCGTTTCTCCAGACGGGGAATGCCTGTCTGGATCCAGCCACCGTTCGCGCTAATCGCAAGAAAAATTCTCCGGTTATCCGGTTCATCTCGTTTAAGCGCTCGCGCGTCGAGGTGACGCTTCTGAAATGAATCTCCTCCGGAGGTTCGGAGAGTAGGTCTTTTATCGTTTCACTGATCGATATTAGAATATTCCAGGACAACGTCCTAAATAATAGAGTGAAAAAGAAGGAAACGAGAAGGCATCCAGGACATTCGGTGCAGCGTTGAACGTTCCACCTGAAACGAATTAAAAGCTGTCGTTCGCGATTCGACGCATCGGATTCCAAAATGGCGGCAGCGATACCTGACCCCCAGCAGAGGAAGCGGATCGTAAAGCATCCGCGAGACATCGTAAACCGGAGAACAAACGGAATACAATTTGCGTAGACTCGGCGAGTTTCCCGAGGAACGTCATAAATCTTCCGCCGAAAGGGGAACACGGCCGGCCTCCTGTTGTACCTGGGCTCCCAGGGGATGGACGGTTCAAGGACGACAGCGTGTTCCCTGGGACAAACTCTGGAAACTGAGTCGCCGAATTTCGTCGAGCGTTAACCTCTTGACAAGCGATATCGCGTTAGACTCGTGAAGATCTCAACGAGGAGATAAGGAAAACGAATGTCTTCTTTCTTCCTCGTAACGTATTACGAACCAAGTGGCCAACCGCGAGAGTGGCAATGGAAGGAATAGGCGGCTAATTTAGCTAAGTTTAAAACCAGTGAAGACCGACTGACTCGACAGTGACTAGAGACTCCGTGGATATCGTTGAATCTAGGGATTCTCTTCGACGCGAAATCGGCCAGGCTTTACCTTGAACGACAGCTCGAGTTCCTCGGTGTGATCCTGCGTGGCCTCGGCCAGGGACAGCACGCCAACCCCGTGCGGCCTCCTGTAGGTCGCGGTGCCCGTTTTGTTCTTGCCGGAGTCGGAGTACAGCATCCTGCCGCACCGCATCACGTGTGCCACCATGTAGAGGTCCCTGCTCAGGTCCGCGTTCCCGAGGTCGGTGAATATCGTGCAGTTGCTGTTCACCTTCTCGACGAAGCTCGAGAAGCCCTCCTTCACTATCCGCACCAGGAAACGCTCGCTCAGGTATTGGCTCCGCTTCGCGTCGTACAGGGAGAAGTAGATCTCGGTGTCATCGCCCACCGTGTGCCCAAAGTCCCTCATGTAGAAGTACAGGTGGTGGGTGAGCACCTTTCTGTGCTCCTTCCGTCTGAGAGTGCCCCTCGCGGACGCGCCCTGGGAGTTCTCCGCGCTCTGGACGTGCTGCGAACCGAATCGGATCGATCAAACGTACGTTCGATCGACGGACTGCTAGATATTTCACGTTTCCGGAGCTTTCGAAGCTGCGGAAGGGCGGAGTACGGTTAAGTAATCGGAGGAAATTGAAATCCCTTTGCACTCGGGAATATTTTTCTCGACGAATGTTCATTGTTCTCCGATGGAATATCAATGATATCTCTTGCAACTAACACAGAGAGATACCTTGTATAAATCGAGTGACAGAACTATTTTATTTCGATGTTCCGTGTGTTGATACATTATAGAAAATTTAATATTGAATTTTCAATTTTATCATTTCGTCGCATCAAACGGCGACTGAAAGGCGCCTCTCGAGTGCAAAGGGTTAACTGTCTTTCCTTGGCAACATTTCGAAATGTCGATTGGACTGCTCGGTTGTAATGTTCCCCGCTAGTAGAATCTACAGTTAGGGTTCGGATCACTTCCGACACCCTCGGTTCGTTAAAGTCGTTCTTTCTCGAAAACAACCCAGTGACACGGTTCCCCGTGTTTCCCGCGGAGCCGCGGGAGGCTGGCATCCAAGATGGCGGCGGCGCGTATCCCGGCGAGAATTCCAAGCGGAACACGCTGCGATTCGGAATACGAGATCACAGGACGATCGACTCGTATTCCGCGAGAGGTGTCGCCTCCTTCTCCCAGCCCACCCGGCGAATTAGAATCCCAGAAAAACGAGTCGCAAATATAGAAGCCCTGAATGTACAATGGGACGTTAAAAATTTCATGTCGCGTGCACGTGCGTCGAATGCCGACTCTTGGCCGCCGGCTTCATTTCAATTCCTGCGGAGCACTCGAAATGGTCAGCACTCCGACTAGAATTTCAATGAGCCCGATACGCGTCCGGCGAACTATGCGCCCAAGCGATCGCGTTCTATAGTTGCCCTTTCCCTCTTTCTCTTTGCCGCGGCCATTTCGCCCGACATATTGGATGCCTCTTCGCCGGGGTTCCCCCTTTTTTCCGCGGATTGCGGAGTCAGCGGTTGATGGCCCGGACTAAAGTGCCATCGAACAACGTTCCTCGAACCTATTTTCGCGTGCCCGCCGCGGCGCGCTGCTAATTACCACGTGATACAGCTCCACCACGGACATGGTATCCGGGTCCACCATATGGGCGCCCTGACGCGGCACCAGGTCCAGGCCCAGTTTCCTGAAACATTTCCGAAACGATGCAATCAATTGTAAGCGTATCATGGGTGAAGGATGCGGCGGAATTATAGATTACCGAGGAATCTCCTGGTAAAGGCTGGTGTCTCATTTTTAACCCTTTGCACTCGAGAGGTGACTCTCAGTCACCACTTGATTTGATCTAAAATTATAAAGTCTTATATATAATATTAAGCTTTGCGCGATGCATCAATATGTGGAATATTGAAATAAAATAACTTTTCTCAATTTACTTGGGATTTCTCTTTGAGTTCATTTCAAACAATATCATCTTCGTCTAGTTAGAAAGTGCTAAGTATTTCCAACGAAATACTTCCGAGTGCAAAGGGTTATCGAATCAGCTATTCTGATTCTTATCCGAATTTTCTAGGATAACAGTCAGTGATTGCGCTTTCTAGGATAGCAATCGTTAATCCGTAACACATGCATTAGTTGACGTAGACCATTGTTCCACGTGCACGCCTCGATTGCAACGATGACGAAACGCTGGGAAAATGTTTCCGTTGAACGCTGCCTTTACTCGCAGCAGCTTAGCATAATTGTAGACGAGGAAATTCTTGAAATGTTCGACAGCGGAGAGTTCACTAGCACGGTAGAACTCAGTTGTACAAATATCGTGGTGTTTGCATTGAATCATCCGGCCGGCGAACAGAGACGCGTTTCTCCTTTCGCGGAAAGAACACTGTATTCGGAACGAGTCGCCTCGTTGCGCAACGTCGCGCTGCGAAACGCTTAATTTCGCGTTGCTCAAACATTCGAACACCGTTTGAGGCTTGTAGGCAAGCGGTTAACTCCACCGCAGTGGATTCTCGTGCGATTCTTGGGCTGGGAAATATCGTTGAACAAAAGCTGAAGAGAAAGAACCGATTGCTTGTTAGAAGTCAAAGAGTTATTTGTAGCTCCGACGATATCGCTTGCTACCAAAGGAAAAGTGGGTTGGACAGTCTCGACGATCGAACAGCCAAGGAAATTGTAGACGCTAACGATACACGGATTCGCGTGATGCGGCGGATATTTCCAGTGAATTAAATTAACGAATAGCATTCAACGGTATATGCAAGGAGCCTCAAAGCGGAGAACCATGTTAAAACCAGTAAAAAGCTGTGCCTCGTTAGCTGACATGCAGATCCTATTAATAATGCTATTTCCGCGAAAAAAACGGACGCCTATGACATCACGCGACGAACGGACTATCCAAGTATCTGAGAAGCAGGACATTTCATGCCGAGTAGCACTATGTAGTATTCAGGATTGCCAACGCGAGTGTCTTCGTTGTACACGAAGTGTATCTTAACACAGCCAACCAAATGGGGATCTCCCATTTTTCACTTAGCATCGTATTGCCTTTTATTCTGTGTATCTTTTCTTTTGTTATTTAGTAAGTCTTGAAGCGGGATTACTTGCAATTCATGAAATACGGTTATGTAGGTTATGTACGGTTATGTGTTATGTAGGACAAAATGAGTCGACGATGCGTAATATTTCAGAGAACGTTGAATATTCGCATGAAAATGCGTTAATGGAGTAACGCGCAAATCAACGCACAAGTCGGCGAGAAATCTGAACGAAAGCGGTCTCATAGTTTCTATTAAAAGTCGAAACTAATCAATCGAACAGCTCGGCGGTTCTACTGTTAACTTCCCATGACCCTGGTCGACCGCATGCCATAGGGCCGACGTGTTCTCGAACGCATTGGGGCCCTGCAGGGCCGGCTGTTGGACCGGGCCTTCGCGTGGCCCCTTCACCTCCCAGGAATGCAGCCACGCGGCCGGCGTTTCTCGCGTTTTACGCACGCGCCTCAATTTCCCTAGTTCTCGCTCGTTTATCTATGCTCGACGCTATTCGTCTCTCGTATCAGCTGGCGCAGATAATCGAAGAGTTTCACGGAGATTGGAATGCTTCGAACTACAGCTCGAGATCTATTCGGGAATCAAGATGGCTGCCGCGGCCACCATTTCGGAGTCGCCATATTTGGGGCGATTTCGTTGGTCGAAGATGAAGTAACCAGGCGCATGGAATCACAGCTATTCTTCACTCGCCGATTGTTCTTTTCTTCTGGGCAATGAGCAAGAAATTGTACGAGCATTTCTTTTGTTCTGTACTCTCGTGCTAATTAACACTATGTTTACGGGCACTTATTGCACACTTCATTCTATTATTCCTATAAGAATCGATGCTCGTTTATTTAGATCGTGGAAATTGGGGTACATGTCAATGCGATCGCATCAATCAAAATCGGATTTTGGTAAAATAATATTTCTAAAATCCAACATGCGTCAATTTGCGTTCCGTAAACCTAGTCTTAAAACGATGGTACGCGAAAGGAAATTGGAACAGGCTGCCGAATTATATTTCCTTCTATCCGTCTAATTCTTTTCGTCGCTCTTCGAAGCGCAAGACCGAGGTTGCATCGAACGAACGAAACTACTTTCCCAGGAACCACTTGCACCGTATGAAAGCGGCGAATGCACGGGCGAATGGAAAACGCTGCGAGACGTATATTTCGTGGGACAAGCGTACCGATAAGCGAAGAAGATACGTGGAGCGGTCGTCGCGGCGAACAGGGCCAACGTGGAAGTTCAAGAACCTTTGTAACTTAGGGAATACGTGCCGCGTGGAATATGCAAGTAGCGGGCGTCTACCTAAAATCGAGTGAAACTCCCATCAGCCCCGACAAAGTCGTGGATTCGGCCGGATAAGTAATACACTTATCGGAGTTTCCCTGCGTTTAACCGATTACGGTAATCCAGTTACAGGATACCCCCCCTCTCGGCCGCCTTACCCGTGTTCGCGCGCGATGTATGCATCGCTTATGCAAATCGAGGCTCGCCGGCAACAATAAATCGCGCGCGTTATTATTTCGCGGTTATATAAATATCACTCTACATCGTAACTTAACACTTTGAGAACCAGTGTACCATTACCCGTATCGGATTTACACATCTACGCTCGAAAGTTTCAATCGGGGAATTCAATGATGTAAACAATAAAGGATCCATAGTTTTCTTATTCTCCTGTACTCGGAAGTTTTATATCTAACGTAGTTTTCTATGGGAAAGAGTTTCGGTCTAACGTTTTCCATCGCTCGAAATATCCGTTACATTATATTACGCGACGACCGAAAGAAAACCGGGAACAGCAGAAAAACCCGACGAATTTGTTTATACGCTTCGACGCCGCTGCGCTCCGTCTACGCGAGACGTTAAACCGTGAAAGCATCGCGGCGACGCGTGCCCGACGGGATTACTTTCGTTTCGCGAGGCAAAAACCTGCGGAACGAACGAGCGGACTCCTCCGCGTGGGAATCGGCCGGAGCCCGGCGAAGCTTGAATTTTTTCGGATTAATCGTCGAGTTAAGGTGACCACCTAAACGAATTCCTGTTTCCCGTGCAGTCTTTAATCGATTCCATCGGTTAATCGTATAACGATACATCGTAACGCGATAGAATGTTTCCACTGGAAGACTTCGAAGGGTTAGATTTCGGTTATTCCATCATCGCCGGATGAAAAATCGATTCCGGCCAGCCAGCCAGCCGTAATCCGAAGGAAATTCCCACGAACAGTGGAATCGACGGCTGTCGGCCGGTAATTAACCTTTCTCGAGTGAAGTGGCGCGCCGGGTATCGTGAATTTCGAGCGGATTTCGGCTGGATCGGTCGAATTAAGTGGCACTGGAGCGAGCTTTGCCCTCTCGCCCCTCGAGCCCGGTATTCTTGTTCACGGAGCGGCGGCCGCGTCACCGATCGCGGTGATTCGGTGCATCGTCCTACGCCCTCGCGGTTCCGCACGGCTGTATCCAATTTACCCTCCCGAGCGGACCTCGGAACACGTTTCGCGCATTTAAAACTGGACCGACGCGGGCTCCGCGCTTTCACGGCCGTGAGCCGCGGCACTCGGATCAAATAGGAGGTTATTTCGCTGCGTTAACCTTGCTCCCCGATTTATCGGCAGCTTCGGAATATTACTCGGACGAACGGGAACGCGCAGACTGGTAACAAGTTCCTTGCAACTCTAGAATTCTGCTTGTCGATCAATGGGAGATTAACCCTTTGCGGACGAAGATTCTTTGAAATATGGAATATCGTCAGCAGATGTAGCTAAATTATCTATCAATTGCATAATCAATAGAAAGAAAAGAAACTTCGCGCTGGCCTCTTTGAGTAATTCAATCATTCGTTTGTGATTTACTGTTCTTAAACCATAATTTCTTGCTACAGCAGGCCCAAAAATCCTCCATCGAGTTCCGAGGAAGAATATTTCCAAGTCTCCAAAGAGCTTCCTCGCGACTCGAATATCGCGAGCCTTTCGTTTCGCGTCCGAGGGAACGCAGAAGGGGCATTATTTTTCCGAAAGGCTCTGAAAGTAAGGATCCGCGGGCCAGCCACGCGGTACGGTCCTGAGAATCCCGAGAAGGTCCCCCCTCGGGCCCCAGTTGATGGAATGCAGGTGAGCAGGCAGAGTTCGATGCGTGGAGACAGGTACAGGCAATGTCCGGCGTGCTCGCTCGCCGACTCGCTCGCTCGCCGACTCGCTCGCTCGCTCGCTCGCTCGCGCGCCCTCGCTCGGTTGGGACCTATGTCCCATTCCAAAGATATCGGATAAATTCCCTGTGCCGGCGACCGGGTTCGGCTCGCCGCGAGACCACCGTCCGCATCCTCGTAAAACGAGGAAGGGCAGCGCTGTTTAAAATTCAGTGTTTCGAACGCTGCTAGAACTTCGTGTCGCTTTGCTCTCCGACGCTCCTAGCTGGCCACGGGCAGCTCCGAGCGCTGCAAGATCGAAATCTAGGAACGCTTCGAGCCTCCGGAATTCCAAACTCTCCGTTCGTTTTGTGATTTCGAAGTTTCTTCTCTTGTTATTGAAAGCCTCGCGGTTTCCTTGCGATTCGAAACTCTCGAGGTAACGGTAGGTAGCTGAAGAAAGCATAAGATCGACGAATAAACAACCATTCGCGCGAATGTCAATGTTTTCAAAGGAGACTCT